GTCGACACCGCAACCGTAGGAACATTCTCACTTGTGCTGAGGGTGTTGCGTGCAGGAAAGAAACCCCAAACCCTGAACCCTGAACCCTGAACCCTAAACCCTAAACCCTAAACCCTAAACCCTAAACCCAGGCCTGCGTACTCCGCGTGGATGGCAACTGGGCAGGGGCCCCAAGGGGAGGGGGGCTTAGAGTCGGAGATGCTGAGTACTAACCCCTCAACATAACCCCTCAACATGCATTAAGGCCCCAGTGGGTTTAGGGTTTAGGGTTTAGGGTTTAGGGTTTAGGGTTTAGGGTTTAGGGTTTAGGGTTTAGGGTTTAGGGTTTGGGCTTGAGGGTTGAGGCTTTGGGGTTTAGTTTGGGGTATCAGAGTTGTTATCTGAGAGCCCTATTCCAGACGGGTAGTGTAGGGGCTCGAGCCGTCAGGAGCTGGAGAAATGTCACAGTCGTGGGCCTGGATACAAGACCCACAGTCCCTCGCACCTTGAGACTAGCAAGTTTGTCTGTATTCCCTAAACCCTAAACCCTAAACCCTAACCTCTAAACCCTAAACCCTAACCCCTAAACCCTAAACCCTAAACCCTAATTACACCTTGCGGTATGGATCCATGTGCTGCTTTGGAATTTAGGATGCACTGCGTGGCACAACTCGTCGGCCTTAGAGTCCAGCAGGGCCCTTGATCGCATGGTGCAATTGGACCTTTGTGTGTTGCCCTAAACCCTAAACCCTAAACCCTAAACCCTAAACCCTAAACCCTAAACCCATGAACCCTAAACCCTAAACCGCAGACCCGAACCCTAAGCACCCTACACTCTTGGAGCAGGTCGAGGACGACAATGACTCGAACTCGACAAATTCGAGTAACGCAAGCATAGCCAGTGGCTTGCTGTCAATGGGCAGTTGAGGGTTTAGGATTGTGGGTTTTGGGTTTTGGGGGTTTTAGGGGTGTTAGGGTTTCGGGTTTAGGGTTTAGGGCTGTCTTACAAGGTACAGGGGCTTTGGCTGGTGCAGGTCGGGATGCTACATTGTCTGAGGCTTCGCCTTTCACACAGCCCAAGCATCCGAGAATAATTTTGGGTTGCTTACCGCGATCGGGGTGCTTCAACTGATTGTTAACGGGTTGCGGGTTTAGGGTTTTTGGTTTAGGGCTTAGGGTTGAGGGCTGTTGGGTTCATTGCAAAGATATGTGTGTGTGTGTGTGTGTGTGTGTGCATATATATATATATATATACATATGCATATACTGCATATGTACATATACACACATAAACCCTAAGCCCTAAACCGTATATAATGTAAATAATATATACAAAGATATATACATATATTATACATAAAATGTTTTCTGCTTTTGGGAGCCGCTAAGGGATTCAGAGGTGTTTTTCTGGGTCAATTCTTACAAGGGCTTGAGGTGCAGCAGCATTTTCGTTTTTCCCTTCTGAAACCCAATATCTCTGAAGCTTCAACCTAAACCCGAAACCCTGGAACTCTGAAACCCTAGAAGCCATGCAAGTATTGAAAGCAACCTGAGGGGGTGCCTATTTACCCCGGAGGGAGTCCCGAAGCGCAAGCGTCCCCTCACCATAGAGGGTTTTAAGGATTTTAGGGGATTAGGATTTAGGGTTCTAGGGTTTAGGGATTGGTGTTTCAGCTCTGAGGTTCAGGGCTAAGGTTTGCAGGGTTTAGGGCTCTTCTGCCATCGCGTCAAGGTACGACTCAGACGTTCACCACGTCAACGACGTTCACAAGGCGGAGCGCGAAGCCTCTCAACCAAAACGCCCAAATTCCTACGGCTTTCAAACATCAAAGCCCTCATTAGCCTCCCGACTAGGGTTTAGGGTTTAGGGTTTAGGGCTTAGGGCTTAGGGCTTAGGGCTTAGGGCTTAGGGCTTAGGGCTTAGGGCTTAGGGCTTAGGGCTTAGGGCTTAGGGTTCAAGGTTTAGGGTTTAGTGTTTGGGGTCTGTGATTATCTGTAAAGTCTTTAAGAGAAACATGCCCAGCGAGAGGAGTTCCGCGACATCCACAGCCTCCCGCTCCACGACAACCAGCTGCTCGGGTTCGGGGGGAGCGTTTAGGGTTTTAGGGGTTTAGGGTTTTAGGGTTTTAGGGTTTTAGGGTTTTAGGGTTTTAGGGTTTTAGGGTTTTAGGGTTTTAGGGATTTAGGGATTTAGGCTTTTAGGCTTTTAGGCTTTTAGGCTTTTAGGCTTTTCGGGTTTTCGGGTTTTATAGGGTTTTATAGGCCTTTATAGGGCTTTTTAGGGCTTTTTAGGGTTTTAGTGTTTTAGGGTTTAGGGTTTTCGGGTTTTATAGGGTTTTATAGGGCTTTACAGGGTTTTTTAGGGTTTTAGGGTTTTTAGGGTTTTGGGGTTTTGGGGTTTTAGGGTTTCAGGGTTTTAGGGTTTTGGGGTTTTAGGGTTTTAGGGTCTTAGGGTTTTAGGGTTTTAGGGGTTTAGAGTTTTAGGGCTTTAGGGTGTTAGGGTTTTTGGTGTTTGCAGGGTCTATCAATGGGGTTTGTAGGGTTTATCAGTAGAGTTTGTAGGGTCTATCAATGGTGGTTATAGGGTTTATCAAAAGGATGTGTAAAATAGTGGTTTTTTGCAAGTGTTGATAAAAGGGTTTATAGGGTTAATAAACAGGGTTTACAGGGTTTTAAAACCAGGGTTTATAGGTTTCATAAAACGGGTTTTTCAACAGGGTTTATAGGGATTCTAAAAACAGGGTTCATAGGTTTCATTACGGTTTCATAACAAAGGCTTGTAAACAGGGTTTCTACTACTATTTACTTAAGAGCCCCAAAAGAATACACAACAGTAATCCCGATATTACCCTTAATAAGGAAGAAGATTTTTTCGGTGTTCTTAAGCAATCAGTATAGGGTTTTCCAGCACCTTCAGGGCATTTGGGCTGAAGGGATTTGAGGAGGGAGTCGCGAGGCTTCGCGCGCCCCCAATCCCAAAACCCACCAGTTATGAGCCCTAACCCCTAAACCCGAAACCCTAAACCCTAAACGATTTCAATGAGATCCCTGGGCGACTGAGGTTTCACAGTTTCCGCAACCACCACACCAACCACCACACTCAGCTCGTCGAGCCTCTATGAGTCTCTCCTGTTCCAGTACTTATAGGGAGGAGGGCTTAAGGTTTAGGGTTTAGGGTTTAGGGTTTAGGGTTTAGGGTTTAGGGTTTAGGGTTTAGGGTATGCAACCCAAGGTTCCCTAATACTCTTCTATGAGCTTGTCCTGTTCCAGCTTGTCGGGCTTAGGGGGAGGGTTCGGGGTTCAAGATTTTGGGGTTTGGGTTTGGGGTTTGGGGTTTAGGGTTTAGGGTTTTGGGTGAAGGCTTTATGCTTTAAGCCTTTCAAGTCGGAATGCTATTCGGGCGGATCGCGCGCAGCTCTGAGGCATCGCAGAACAGAAGTTCGGGATTGCAAGGGCGCCGAACTCACCTCGTCCTCCCTGAAGATCCATCCTTGGGACTTCCCAAAATCCATGCTCAGAGACCTAAACCCTAAACCCTGAACCCTATACCCTAAACCCTAAACCCTAAACCCTAAGCTCAGGTGACGACCACCACACGGTCCAAAACGACCAGCTACGGATCTAGCTCCACATCGTCGGGTACCACGACAACCAGCACCACGGTCTCGACGAACACCACCACAAGTACCTTGGGGACCAGATGAAGCCTACATTTTAGGGTTTAGGGTTTTATACCCCATACTACTGTAATTCCTATTGAGGAACACGACCCATAAACCCTTTTAGGGCTCCGTTTGGTCCCCAAGGTACTACACAAACAACATCCTTTACGCTCTCCACCACGGTGGTAACCAACACGCGGGGGACCTCAGTGCAGAAGTCGAAACGACTCAAGGTGCTCCTTCGCTTACATCTCTATAGGCCCTTCTAGATCCTGATCCAGGCCCCCTCACGGGCCCTCCATCGCCGCAAATGCCAAAAGCAAACCCTAAAACCCTCTAAACCCTAAGCCCGAAACCCTAAAACCTAAAACCCTAAACCCTAAACCCTAAACCCTAAACCCTACACCCTAAACCCTAAACCCTAAACCCCATTCAGGTCCACTTCGCAAACGCAAACGTCCTCGACTGCGACCACGCGCACGGTTACGACGGAGACGGACACCTCCACAACGACCACTTCCAGCATCAGCGGCCCAGATGAACTGTATTTAGGGTTTCGGGTTTTGGGTTTAGGGTTTTGGGTGGGGGGGGGGGGCGTTCCTTTCCCTGGCAACCCCGGACTGCACAAGGTCGCCTTTCATGTACTTAGGTCTCAGAGGAAGCTGGGAACCCTTAAGTCCTCCCCTCTCAGTTGAGTACACAAACCCCCCTGGTTCTTAGTAGGGAATGAGGGAATGAGGCCCTATAAAATCCCTTAAACGGTAGATAATAGGTCCCTCATTCCCTCAGTCCCTGCTAAGAACCAGCCAGAAAATCTCGGAAGCCGATGCCTCAAGTAGCTCACATCTTGGCATCCTCAGCTTCCGCAGGGCTTCCCATCATTCAGAGAGGGATCCTCAACCCAAAGGCCCTAAGCTAAGGCTTAAGGGTTTAGGTTTCTAGGGTTTAGGGTTTAGGGGAAGTGCTAAACCAGAACTCTCATATGCCATGCCAACGTATGTTTGGGGTTCGATGGAGGGGGTGTACTTTTTCAATGAGCATGCATTTGCCTAGGGGTTCGTTGCGTAGAAAATTGCCCTGAGCCCTGACTTGCAAGTCCCAAATCCCTTAAAACCCCCTAGACCCCTAGACCCTAATCCCCTGAGCCCCTAAACCATGAGTGGGAGCGGATCCCACATCCCAACATGACGACCTATCTAAACCTGAGTGAACCAGAGTCGGTATTGGGGCTTTTGGAGGCTTTAGGTTTGGGGCTCCACTTGCAAGTATAAGGTTATAAGTATAGAACTTTGTAGAACTTTGTAGTTAAAACTGTCTTCGGATGCTTGCAAACAGAACTCTCCATGAGCCTCCGAGTACATGCGAGGCGCTGCGAGTCCAGGGTTGGCTTTAGAGCATGGTTCGGCAGGCTGTAGGCTCTCGAGCTCGTACACCCCCTAGCCCCGTAGGCAACACCACCAGCACAACGACGGCCACGAACACCACGATCACCCTCACAGCGGCTTGGTAGCATTTTGCTTCATGGAGAACCTGAATCGGGCTTGGCGCGGGAACATAACTTCGAGTCTCTCGCCATGGTTACAGGGTTTAGGGTTTAGGGTTCAGGGTTTAGGGTTAGGGTTCAGGGTTTAGGTTACTCAGCATCTGGGAGCAATTTGTCAGTTCTGCGCTCGCTGTCTGTCTGTCTCTCTCTCTCTCTCTCTCATCTGGAGTTGTCTTGGGTGCCACCTTCGTGCTGTTTACATATTGAAGGTTCTCTAAACCATGGTCGGAGCCCTATATGCAGGGTACCCAAGAAGGGTGCATAATTTTGCTAAACCCTAAACCCTAAACCCTAAACCCTAAACCCTAAACCCTAAACCCTAAACCCTAAACCCTAAACCCAACATCCGTTGAATGTGGCCTTTGTTCACTCTCAGGAAACAGAGCTGCTTGACTGCACCGGAAAGGGGGAGCTACGGTTCTACGACATAAGAATGACATTGCAACATAGAAAAGGTGAGGTGCTCTTTCGGTTTAGGGTTTAGGGTTTGGGGTTTAGGGTTTCGGGTTTGGGGTTTCGGGTTTAGGGTTTAGGGTTTAGGGTTTAGGGCTTAGGGTTTAGGGCTTAGGGTTTAGGGCTTAGGGTTTAGGGTTTAGGGTTGGAGAATCCTGGTTCTCTTCAGCCGCTTCTCCCACCTATGAACCCCCTACCTTAAGAACCCGAAACTGTGGGTTTTGCCGATCCCTACAAGCCAAAGGGCTGCGGCTTGTTAAAGTAAGCCCACAAGCCCGCGCACCTTCAGGATTGGTTTTAGAGCTTGTAGGGCTTCAGGAGTTTAAGGTGTAGGGTTTAGGGCTTTGAGGCTCTAGGGTTCTAGGGTTTGTAGGGTTTGGGGATTTAGGCTTTAGGGTTTCAAGGTTTTAGGGTGCGCCCTCTCCACCCCTACACTGGGAGGTTCCTGGAGAGCTACAAGTAGGGTTATAAGCATGGCATTTTGAGTACATATAAATTAAAAATTAAACAGATAAGGATACATACGAAGCCTACTTAGAACCAGCCAAAGCCTCCAGGTCCAGCAAATCCCCTAGACCGAGCTAAGCCCCTCAGCCCTTCAGCAAACCTCTAAACGCCCATCGTTTTAGCTGCGGAGCCCACTGGTTTTGAGGGGTTGAGGGTTTAGATGTAGGGCCTAGGGCCTACGTAGAAGCTTAAGGTGTCGATCTTCCAGTTTTTGTAAGCAGGTGCAGAGGTCCTCAAACGACAGGTCCCGAACCCTTCAGGAGGAGGTGCTAAGGGGAAAGGGTTTAGGGTTGAGGGTTGAGGGTTTAGGGTTTTAGGGTGTAGGGTTGAAACTCATGGCCAAGGACCACCACTTTCACTGGCACTTGGTTTGAAATTCACACGGTCCTGATCCTAAATCTGGTGACGGGAAACTCGTGCTCCAGCTGCACAGTAGAGGTTCTCCGCTCTTCGAGTTCTTCCATTCTTCCTTGGCTTATAGGGTGGCGGGGGTTCATCAGGGAGTGTTGGGGAGCAGTGGGGAGTATAAGGGAACCTTGGGTTGCATACCACCCTTGAACCCCCCTCCTTAAGAACCCCATAATTGGCGGATAGTCAGGTTGGGTTTTGCATCTTACAGAACTAAAGCGAGCCGTGTGATTCGTTGGCTTTGGGAGAAGTAAGCAAAGGCAGCAAAGGTGCCTTTGATAGCTGAACCTCCCTGAGCACTCCCGATGACTTGCAAACACAGCTCCCATTGGGGGGTCTCGAGAATAGGGGTACCTTACTGAGGTCCTTATTAAAATGGGAATCCTACTATTAGTATTTGGGGGTCTATATTCGGAGTCCCTTATTTTCCTAAACCCTCATTTAGGGCTCTTGGGCTTCGATGTTTTGGGAGCATTTCGGGCCCTTGCCAGAGATGGATGCTACCAAGTCGGGCAATTCCAGAGGAAATGAGAAACAGGGGCCATCAGCGGCCAAAAGGGTTCAGGGGGATTTTGGGGGTTGATTTCTGAAGGTTTCCGGTTCGGATTCAGGGTCTCAAAGTTTCGCAGGCTTGCCATACTAACCTTGATGTTTGTTCGTCCCTTGCGCAACTCTCGTCCAATCGCAAAAAATCCTGCCAGTGTACACAAACTCTCAGCATTTTTGGCTGAAGTCAGCCCGGTGTGACCCCTGTCTCTCGCACTGGCTGAAGCCTCGGGATCCATGGCGTGGAAGTTTCTTTGTCATAGTTAGGGAACATTTTGCAATTTTAAGGGTACTTAAACCCAATAAGGAAAACAAGACGTAGATTTTTGATATTACCCCACCAATGAACTAGGTTTCTGGTTGCAGCGCACTTGCTCTGCGGTGCCGCGACTGCCGACGAACAGGGAAAGCTTGCCCAGGGGCACAAGAACCTGAGCATTGGCAGCCCAGTGGTACCCTTTTTTTTTTTTTGAGGTTCTGGGTTCCACCCTAGACCCTAAACCCTAAACCCTAAACCCTTCTTATAGCATGGGTACTGGGCTACTCAGGACGCTAGCATCCTCGAAATCTGCCACATCCTCCCAGACCTGGCATGTCAGCACCTTGGAAAAAACCAAATGAGCGCTAAAAGGGTTTGTGGGTCAGATACCTCAATAGTGGAACTACAGCATAGGGTATATAACCCTAAACCCTACACCCTAAACCCTAAACCGTAAACTCTAAACCCTAAACCCTAAACCCTAAACCCTACATCTAAGGCAATGCCGTGGTTGGTGGACATGAGTGGTGCCGTGCGCATGTTCCAGACAGCTCCTGGTCTGTAAGCTGCAAGGGTGGCGGCTTGCGGGCGAAGGTGCTGACCTACAACTTGTACCTTGGGCTTAGGGTTTGGGGTTTGGGGTTTAGGGATTAGGGTGTAGGGTGTAGGGTTTAGGGTTTAGGGTTTGGGGACCACATGAACCCTAAAAAGTTGGGTCCTACAGCCTGTACTGCTATGATTCCTATGAAGGTATATGAGCCCTGAAATTGGGTCCTGTATCCTATACTGCTATAATTATGAACCCTAAACCCTACACCCTAAACCCTAAACCCTATAAACCCTCACCAAGGTACTGGTGGAATCTCTTTGGCCTGCGGGGGGGCGAAGGAGCTCGCAGTGCCTTGGGGACGAAATGAACACTAGGGTTTAGGGTTTAGGGTCTAGGGGTTCATATACCTTCATAGGAATTATAGTAGTATAGGGAATATGGCCCTAAACCCCAAACCGTGAACCCTAAACCCCAAACCCTAACCCCCCCTCCCCAAATTTTAGGGTTCATGTGATCCTCAAGGTGGAAGGCCCTAAACCCTAAACCCTAAACCCTTAACCCTAAACCCTAAACCCTAAACCCTAAAGGTGGAAGGCTCATCGCCTCGACCCAGTGGCCGGACCCCTACGACTTCATGGGCTTCCAAGAGCCTTGGTGGGGGGGGGGGGGGGGGGTAGGGTTTAGGGTTTAGGGTTTAGGGTTCAGGGTGTATTGAAATTATTCAGGGTTCAGGCCCGGGGAAAGTTTCGAGGAGTTTCGAGGTGGGTTTTTTGAATAATTTCAAGTTACAGGGGCTTGAGGCTTTAGGGGCTTGAGGGTTTAGGGTTTAGGGTTTATAAGGTTTAGGGCTTAGGGTTTAGGGTTTAGGGCTTGCTACCCCAAGGAGTGCGATGACGTCGAGCGTGTCATCCATGATGCCGGATTGCAGAATGAGTTCACCAGGATTCAAGGTCCCCATGCAATGGCCGTTGCCTTTCGAACAGCAACCTGGCAGGAGCTAGGCAGAGGGCAATCTGACATTGCGGAGGATAGGTGGGAGCAGTGGTATGGCTCACGAGGCGTGCAGTGGGTTCGCGTGCAACACAGGCAGAATGGTCGGACAGTGATTTTCCTGAATTTCCACGGCCCGCTTCCAATTAGTAGTGGTGGGAAATGTGGCCCCGATGCCACTGCCTACAACATCATGCGAGTAATCGGTGAGCAGTCCGACTCCAATGATGATGTGATCTTGGTGGGCGACTTCAATTCCGCCACGTGGTCCCCGACCGTTCAGAAATTGTCTGAGCGCATGCACCGTGTTTTCAGTGGCAATGCCCACGGGGGAGTGGACCACATTTTCAGCAGTTGCCCGGGTGTCAAGGGCACTTGGAATCTAGGCACTGGTGGCAGTGACCATGATGCCCTGAGTGCTCTTATTGAAGCTTGGTAGGCCACTGGTAATTACCCTTTACCCTTTTCTTTATGGGTTCCCTCATATAAAATAGCCAACCCCAAAAAGGGGGGTGCCCTTAGTATGATGTGGTTACTGGGCCACCAAGGAAGCCAATTGATAGGCCCTGCTGGTGGCCTGAAATGCGACAACCCGACTTAGGCAAGAAGTATATGAAGCGGTATCCTGGACCCTATGGTCTGCCGCGCCCGCAACGAGGGCCTCGGCGGTTAATTAAAGTAAGGGCCGGCGGGCTCACACTCTGTGTCTTGATTGCGTAGACTCCTTTTTTCTGCGTACTCAGCAGCTGGATTATGGGTTGAGTGGTTCGCTGGATGTAGAGTGGAGCCATGAATTTTGACGCCGGACCTTTGCAAATCCCTCCAGAAAGGAATTCGGAATTTTTTCCTGAGGCGGGCAGCCACCGAGTTCGGTGACAGCCTAGTCAAAATGTGCAATCATAATTAGTCCAAGCTGACTGCTGACCATGGCTAGTTTCTTGGCGGCAGGCCTTTCCGAGATGACAGGTGCCTGTCATGCTGTGACCAGGGGACGGGTCTGAGATAGCCGCGGACGTGTCGCCAGCTAGCAGAGATGCGGAGAGCAGCAAGCCGTGCCCTCCGCGAAGAGCTGCTTAAGCTGGGAATACCAGATTTTGATGCTGTGGGGAATGCAGCGAAACGCTGTCACCAAGCTGAATTATGCTTGTGTGTGGGGTCCCCTGCTGCTTGCTTTTGTCCCGAATGGGCTGCCAAGCAACAGGTACCAAGAACCAGCCCCCTCTGGACAGAGATGATGGTGCAGATATGTTCCAAGCTCGGGTGCTTTCCTTTTAAGGGTTTGGGGTTTAGGGTTTAGGTATTAGGATGGTTTAGGGAAACCTGTTTTAGGGTTTTTGGTAGCTTTGACAGGTCGACTAGGGTCAACCAAGACTGTAGAATTGTGGTCTGGAAGTGTCTCGACCTGCACCAACTTTTGATTTCTGTCCAGCCAATACCATCAAATATCCGACGCGCTGCGAAAAGTCCCAGGAACGGTTGAGGTTGCTCTGAGCCCTAGCCACCCCTCCTCTTTTCATGTTCATTATCTCTTTCTGCATGTTGTTTGCACAGATTTGAACTGCAGACGAACTCTTACGAGTTTGCTGGAGGGCAAATGGCAAGCTGCTTTGCACACGTTTTCTGTAGATGGTCTAAGAACACTGTTGTCCTTGAGCTGCGTAAGCCTCCATCTGTGCCCATGCCTCCCTAAACCCTAAACCCTAAACCCTAAACCCCTGTGGCCACTCAGGTATCTTCTGGCCCGGGGCTCAAATTCCTTCTGCGCATTGTGCTGTGATGGCTGCACCATGGAGTGTGAGCAGGTTGCCGATAGCACTGACTCAGGGATGATACCATCGTCTCTGAATACTAAACCCTAAACCCTAAACCCTAAACCCTAATCCCTAAACCCCATTTGCTTTTGGGGTCAAAGGCTCTACGCCGACTCCCAGCTTCTGAGCTCTACCTTAAGGACGAAATGGACCCTAAAGTTGGGGTCATATTCCCTATAATACTATGTCATTCCTGTTTAGGGTTTAGGGTTTAGGGTTTAGGGTTTAGGGCCATAAACCCTTCTAGGGCTCCTTAGGTCCCTAAGGTACTAGAGGAGTTCTATGCACCGTGCCTGCTCCAAAACAAGTTTCAGCTCCATACCCTAAACCCTAAACCCTAAACCCGCAACCATGCGACACGTATCCGAAGTTGGCAGCACCCCCGCTCTGAGCCCCCCTGAACCTAAACCCTTCTTGCAGGCATAACACGGTTTAGGGTTCAGGGTTTAGGGTTTAGAACTATTTGCGCCCCAAACAAGGGAAAAATATGAATAAACAAAAACATATTCCTTATAAGGGCAATCTAGGAATTCTGATGTCAATGTTTTGGGGGGTTCGTCTTAAGCTTGGCTAAGCCCTGAACATTCGAAGGCCGAAACGCCAGGTGGCAGCGCAGCAGCCGTGAACTTAGATGACCTTGTCCCCATCGCTGTGGGGTCCGTTGCCGATTCATGGTTTGGGGTTTAGGGTTTTTGGTTTAGGGTTGGTGGCACTGCCGCCTTAAACTTGATTGGGGTACTATATTGGTTGTAGGGCTCAACAGACGGGTCGCATTCTCAGCCTTGCTTTTGGCGTGTGAAGGTGGCCGACATCATCGCCGATCAGGCGGGAGCGCAGGTTTGGAGTTGCTTGGCATTTCGGGTCCTAAACCCTAAGCCCTAAACCCCGAACCCTAGGTGATGGTAGGCCGCCTTTGAGATTCTGAACCAGGGTTTTCCCGCGTAAGGGTTTAAGGTTTTGTACAAGCACACCACACCTACTTTGAAGTTCAAATCACCATCGAAACATGCTCAAGCAATGCTAGGCGATTCCAGATCTGGTGGCACACCCTCTAAAATTGGGTTTGAATTTCAGCTCCTTTACTTGCCTGAAAACTTCCCAGCCCCTTCTGCGCAGTTGGCCACCCTAAACCCTTAACCCTTAACCCTGAACCCTAAACCCTAAACCCTAAACCCCTTGCTGTACGGCTCGCTGTCTGTGCTCGCAACCGTTTTTGCAGGCCGGATCGCCACGACATCTCACTTCCGCAGTGATTGTACCCAGGCGCGCCAGCTGAGCCTAATACCCTCCCCTACTGGGTTTAGGGTTTAGGGTTTCGGGTTTAGGGTTTAGGGTTTAGGGTTTGGGGTTGTTATTGTGTGCTTTGGTGCATGGACCCTTAGGGAAATATTAAATACTCCCAGTGCTTTCCTGTTTAGGTTAGAGGTTTAGGGTATCCCCTGCTCCTAATATTAAACCCGCCCTACCCCCCGAACATTAAAACTCCCATGTCTGCTACATTGTAGTATATGGGAGGGTCTTTGACATTAGGGGGTAGGGGGGGGTTTAAGATTAGGGGAGGGGATTATCGTGCCCTTGGGAATTATGTGGGGGTTTCCCAAAATAGGGGATTGGCGGTACCCTATATTCGGAAACCCCTTGTGCTACATTTTAAGTACTCCCAAAAGAAAAAAAAGAACAGAAACATACTGTTTTTCCCCTTTGCAACAAGCGGGTGGGGCACATCATGTAGCGATGAGGGTCTAGATGGATGAGACTGTGTAGGGTGTCAGGGGGCTGAGGGTTCTTTATGCGGCTGCCCACAGTCACCTAATCTGACTGAAAACCCAACGCCATAATCTTTGAGGGTATCCGTGGCCTATACTTTGGGGGGCCCAGCATCTCCCTAGACAGGCCGCTGTCCAGCAACACCGAAGAGGCTGCGTTGGGCTAGGGTTTAGGGTTTCGGGTTTAGGGTGAGGGTTTAGGGTTTAGGGTCCCTAAGCCCTACTCCACTTTGGGATCTCAACCTGATGGGTTCCTCATTGTTGTTGGCTGTTCAGCCATGTTTGTCCGGGCATGCCTTCTACAGTGGAGTTGAAGCTCAGTCTCTCACTTGGGGATCTCTCTGGGAAACAGAAGTTACCTTCCGGCACCCGCACATGGGACGAGAGCTTCGACCCTAAACCCTAAGCCCGAAACCCTAAATCCCTTTAAGCCCTGGGGCAGCCTGAAGTCGCAACCAAAACATGCAGGAGTCCCTGCGCTTAAGGGTTTTTGGGCTTATTGGGCAGACCTGTAAAAGTTGATTCAAAGGCCTTAGTAGCTGAGTGAGCACACTTTACACTTTTTGGGATACTATAATCCCCTCTAGAACTGAAAGTGTAAACTTTTTTGGGGGCTTATGAACTCAGCAACTAAGAGGCTGAGGGTCAAATGGTGCGAGGGCATGGCCCAGCGACTTCGAGACTCAACCTGCAACCCTAAGCCCTAAGCATTAAACCCCAGCCCTAAAAAGCCTAAACCCTAATCTGCAGCCTGACAGGTCAGCTCCACGCAGGCTCGGCGGTTGGGGGCTTGTGGGCTTAGGGCTGAAGGATCTAAGAGAGAGATCAGGGTTGGGCCTCGGGCTTTTTAGGGTGGAACTTCCAGGTCAGGTTTAGGGTTTATAGGGTTTGGCCATAGACCCGTAGGGGTGGAGGCACTCACCAGTGATGGGCGGTTTTCTGGCCGCTTGCAGCTACGGCGTGCCGAGCTTCCCTATTACCTTTACCCACAGGGAATAGGAATAGGGTTTAGGGTTTAGGGTTTAGGAATACTGGGAGTCGCGAGGCCCCGCTGCCTTACAATGCTCGCTTTGAGGGACTACCCCCCACAAAAAAGTAACATAGGGGGGGGCCTTTGTAGGCTTTTTTTCTTTGGTTGCGTCGTATTGTTGATTTGTTGAGGTAGGCGTTCACTAGAATGCAATATGTTTGCTTTTCAGGGCTTATGGCTCCTGAACCCTTACATGGTCTTGCCACAAGGTAGGGTGGTAGGGGGTCTGAAGGCCCTCAATAGCTTGGGGTCGCAGGGGTTTAGGGACTCTAAACCCTCAAGCCCTTAAACCCAGACCCGAAAAAGCTCATAAGCCCTAAAGCCTGTGAATTCATAACGAACCAGCAATATAAACCCTCAAGCCCTAAACCCAAACCCGAAAAAAAGCCCGCAAGCCTATGACCTCATTCCCGAAAACGAACCAGTAAGAAGATGACACGGCGAGGCGCAGGTGCGTGCTGAGATGCTCGACTACCGCCCCTCCTTCTGCAAGCAGCTCCGAACCCTAGAGTCCCTAAAATCCCTAAAGTCCCTACATTCCCTAAAGTCCTTAAGAGCCAGTCCCTACATTACCCTAAAGTCCCGAAAAACCCTGAAGACCGTAAATTCCTGACCCTTCCAAAAGGCCCAAGGCTTGTGGATCAAGGAGGTGTCAGGGACCAGCGGGGGGCTGAAGGACTAAAGCGAGTGGGCTTTCGCAAGCTTTCCACCGGTTTTTGGGGGTTTCAGGGTTTTGGGGCTTTGGAGTTTTAGAGTCTTGGGGTCTTGGGTTTCTAGATTTTGGGGGGTTTGGGGGGTTTTGGGGTTTCGGGTTTTTGGGTAGAATGCTTCAGGGGTAGAGGGTGTCGGGACGTAGGCCCCCCAAGACCCCAAAACCCCAAGCACCTAAAGCTCTGAATTCTAAGGTCCTAAACTCCATAGTCTGAATCCTTGTGAAGCGCACGCCTTCAGCTCTTTGTGTGAGAGAGGGGATTGCATGGCAGCCTACAGGAGCCTAAGCTTTTGTGAAGCTTATCACCTGTATCATGCCTTTAGCATCTAAACTCCCCAGAAGACCCTCTCTTTTTGAAGAGGCGTAGCGAGTTGAGAGTTGAAAAGTGGGCACTAAACCCTAAATCCCAAAGCCCTAAATTCCTATAAGCCCTAAACCCTAAACCCTAAACCCTAAACCCTAAACCCTAAACCCTAAACCCCTCTAGGAGTCCGGGAGGGGTGCTCTCCCATCACCTCTGAACCTCCCTTGGGTCCCGAGGTCGAACGCGACAGGAAGCCCGAGCCGTTGCCTCTGGGCTGGCGGCAGCACTGGCCACTCGGATGAGGTTTCAAGAGTCAAAAGTGCTAAAGGTGCCAGTTGCAGCGTAAACCCTAACACTTAAACCCCAAAAACCTAAACTTCAGCCCTCAACCCTAAAACCTAAACTTTACCCCTGAACCCTGAACCCCCATGTGGGCTTAGGGTCTTAAGGGCTACGGGAGAAGTTGTGAGCCCTGCAACCTGGGGGTGCCATATGGCTGACTGTCATCCCGCTGTACACACGCAAAGCACGTTGCCTGAGCAGGGGACGGATTCTGCGGGCTTCTGCATTCAGGAGTACCTATATAGATCCTCCCACTGCAGGCCAGTTAGAGCTCTAGAAGATCGGCAGTTCATGCCCTTCTCCGTGTAAGACAGCAGGCAAGATTGGCTGCAGAGTTTGTTTTTAGAAGTCGTGCACCCCTTTCGCCATCAGGATTCGATGTCCTTGACTGCGGTGACCGCTGCTGTGAACGCCCGTGCCTAGCCTCAAAACACGACACGAACTGTTGCATGTGTCGAAGCGCATGCGAGATTCGGAGGGAAGCCTGGAAATAGGACCCAGAGAATATAGGCAGAACAGGCGGCAAGTCACGCAAGCCATCCCGAGCATAGTTAGAAGTTCACGATGCATGTAAGCCTCAGGGCAAATAGGGTCATATCAATGTTATATACCATGCCTACAACCCTGCTTGCAACACCCGAAACTCTAAATCCTCAACCCTAAACCCTTGGTCCCCAATTCCTAACCAAAATCCCGAAGCCCACGAAGAAACCCAGGAAGCCCCTGACCCTGAACCCTCCCCAAACCCTCGAAAATCCCCCCAAACCTGCACCTTCAACAACATACCCTGGGTTTAGGCATTATGCACCCTCTAAACCCTGAACTGGACATCTTAACCCGAAATCCTCTCTGGGGAGGTCTCCCCGTTCGGCGGGTGTCGGTCACTGCTTCTCGCTCGCAGCTTCAGCGTGGTTGTGGACGACTGCGGTTGCATTGTAGGACTATTTTAGGTTTTGTAGGTTTTGCTGGGGTCGTGGGTGCTTGAGTTTCCGGGTTTAGGCTTAGACATAGTCGCGTGGATTGTCAGCACTCGAGGGCGGCTTCTGGGTCAGCTTTCAGCCTTCCGCGCGAAAGTCAGCCAAAGATGCGCCATGCTCGTGACGATGATAATGATGAATGATGACTCGAATGACACGAGGACGACAAACAAGATCATGACCACGATTCAGACGATGACAGTTCTGACAACGGCCATGATGATCACGAGGCCGATGACGACAATGGTGATCATGTCATCACCATGAGTCCAACAAGGATGATGGGGTCATGTTGAGGGTGGGGGCTGAGGCTGATGCTGGTGAGGGTGGTGGTCCAAGTCCATGCATGGCGAAAAGCTCTTACACCTTACACCAAGCCTTTCAACTCCTACCGATACCTCGACTTGGTCAGCTTATCTTGATCAAAGTCTAGTCGAGCCCTTAGCCCTAAACGACCAATTGCTTGGGAACCCGGAAAAATGGGAAAATGATATTCCTTCTTAAGGGCTCTTTAGGGAATATCTTATTTAATTTCTTTTGGGGTTCTTAAGAGCAAATAATAGCAAACCGTCTCCAGGAAAAGCATTTTGGCATCGACATTACCTCGCCGACGGGTGCGGTGGAGGTGGTCCGGGTTTCCTTTGAAGGGCTTCTTCGAGGTGTTCGGCTTCGGGGATTGGTTGAGGTTTAGGGGCTAGGGGCTTAGCTTCCGGAGCATACCTCTATTTTTGTGGTGCTTCGACTTCGACATTCCTTCCTCGTGACCGTGGAAAACAACAGCTCGCAGCCCAAGCCCTGAAGCTAAAAGTGGCAGGTGTTCCGGGACCTTGCGATGACGACGACGACGTCTCCGACGCAGGAGCATGCTTCAGCTGCCCCAAGAAAGAGCCAAGAACCCTAAACCCTAACCCCTAAACCCTAACCCCTACCCTAAGCCCTAAACCCTGAGCCCTAAACCCTAAACCCAGACTTATTCGTCGTTGGGAATGGAAGCCTCAAGCTCGAGAAAGAGAACTTACGGTCGAACTTTATATACATTATGATATTGGCAAGACCTGTTCTGAGATATTGCTTAAATCGTTATTTGAAATAGGAAGCTTGTAATTCTGGTGAGGACCTGAAAGAGATTTCTTGTGTCCGGTTCAGAAAGCCAGACTTGTGATATTTCAGCCTTACAGTATCTGATTGGCCCGACATGGGGTTTCCAGCCGTATCTAGAGGGGTCTCCAGCCTTTCAAGGTATTTATGGCATCTGGCCCAGATAGGGCTGTTGTTGGGGTTTCTAGCCATTTAAGCTGTTCACAGCCCTTTCTAGCTTAGATCGGGCCGAAAAAGGGTTCCCAACCCTATCTGGCCCAGATAGGGCCACTTTGGGGGTTTCCAGCTGTTGAGCTGTTAGCGGCTCTATCTGACCCAGATGAGGGCGAAATAGGGGATGCCAACCGTATCTGGAGCAGGCAGGGCAGGGCCGTTTTGGGGTTTCCAGCGTTTTCGCTGTTTGCGCTGTAGCTGTGGGCGCATGACCTTCTCAATCTTCCGAGCTGCCATAAGCCTCCCATGCTGAGCCAATCTGAGCGCACCTGCCCAAAGCCCTTTTTGCATCAAGCTTGCGTAGTCTTGCCAGACATGCTGAACGGTTCGTGTTCGCTGGCCAAAACCCTAAGCCCTAAACCCCTTCATCTTTCACAACACGCTTCTTTCAACAATTCTCCCGAACACACAAAACCTTGGGCCCTCAACACCTCAACCCTCAATTCTTTTGTGGAGAGCTGGGAGAAGTCGTCCGAAGCCCCACCATCCGCCTGAAACCTAAACCCTAGCAGTCTCGAATGATTTTTCTGGGCCGACCAGAGCCGAATTTCTTGTTTTACAAATGCTTATCATAGGGCTAGACCGTTGCTTTATCATCTCTTGCAAGAATGTCTGAAATTGAATGCATAGGTGCTAGTCGAATGAAATATGATTGTCTGAAATTGAATGCACAGGTACTAACCGAATGAAATATGAGTTGCAGCAACACCTCAACCCTGAACCCTAAACCCTGAACCCTTGTTTTCGAGGTGGCCCACTCCCACCACCGCCTTAGTTCCAATTCCCAATCTCTAAACCTTAAGCCTAACCTTATACACACACACACACGCATATTTAATATATAGCAATGTCTATGTATAGATATATATATACACATACATACATACATATATATATTTATATTTATTTATTTATTTATTCATTATGTACATGTTTTCTCCCTGCATGTCCCCTAAACCCTAGAAGCTCTTAGGCCCCCTACTCGAAGCCCGAGGAGCCTACAGGCATCAACGCGGCATGGCCCGGAGCACCGAGTGCACGGGCCCTTTGGGCCCCCTTGCAGCAAAACTACTTAGGATTCAGGTTTAGGGTTTTAGGGTTTTTGGGCTTTAGGGCTTTAGGGCTTTAGGGTTTAGGGTTTAGGGTTATTTAGGGTTTAGGGCTTGGTTCGGAGTTAAAAGTTGGGTTAGAAGTTGGGAGATTGGGCTTACAGCCCTATGCTGTCCGAGTACTGCAACCCTACGTCTAACTACCTGTGAACCTCCAAGTAGCGGGTTTTCGGGTTTGGGTTCTGTCGCTCGAGTTCGCTCGCAGGTTTCAGGCACAGAGCTTAGAAAGTGTACTTGGCGGTTCATGGGTACATATAAGTAGGGTTCGAAGTACCCTACAAAATACGGTAATAAGTATAGTATGGTACCCTAAACCCTAACCCGAACCCTAATCTTTACTACCCATGAACCTCCAAGTATCTGGCTTCCAAAGTGAGAGGTTGGGGCTTGGCTTGGTCTTCGTTAGAAAGCACCTGGAGATTTGAGTTGTCTTGGAATTTGGGGAGGTGGGAGGGGTTGGGGAAGTTAGGTTTAGGTGTGTTGAGGGTTTCGGGGTTAGGGGGCTTACGGTGTAGAGGGGTCAGGGTGACAGAAGCTCGGAAGCCACATAGAAGACGCAGGCAGACAGCATTCATTTCTCACAGTGGCCCTTTCAATCTGTTGTCCCTCCCCTTTCAGCAGTTTTCCTGCGGAGATCTAGGATGTCGGGTGCTGAGTATCCTCTGGAATCAGGGCATGAGTGGCGGAGGCGCATGTCTTTCTTTTGAGCCGAAGTGACAAGCACCCGCTGATCAAGCAAGGTTGCTGCAGCCGTGTTCTTCTTGCACCTGTAGAAATGAGGGGGGCGCAAGCGTAGCAGAGAAGACACGGAACCAGAGCGCAAGCTGTTGCAAGAGAGAGTTTGTCGGGCAAGCCCATGCAACACAGGAGCCTCTAACAATTCATTACCACTCAGATCCCGTGTAGACCCTAATATATATATATATGCATATGTATGCCCATATATACATATATAGTATGTATGTACTTATCTCCAAATCTCTAAGCCCTAAATGCAATAATACTGGTGCTAGGACGTGGCACATGCCCAAGATGTGGCACTTCCCCCAAGCCCCTGCTTTATCGCGGGTTCGGGTAACGAGTTTCGGGAGCATCCGGACCCTAAACCCTAAACCCTAAACCCTAAACCCTAAACCCTAAACCCTAAACCCTAAACCCTAAACCAAACCCTAAGTCAGAGGTTGAAGCAGGTTCCTACTGCAAACCTCACCGGCGGCGTGCATCGTCAAGCTTCCTTCTTCTTAGGAGGGATTTAAGGCATAGGGTATAGGGTTTAGGGTTTAGGGTTTAGGGTAGTCCGTTTGAGGGGTTCTAGCCCCCCAGAACGGTGGGGAGCCCACTCTCCCTAATTCTCATCCAGAACTCGAAGAAAACAGAACCTTTAAACTAATGAATGGGCGGCTTTCTGCATTCTGCCTTTCTTGCCCTTAGCATCCCTAAACCCTAAACCCTGCACCCTAAACCCTAAACCCTGGAGTACACAAGTAGGAGCCCCAGGCGGAACAAACCTAAACCCTAAACCCTAAACCCTAAACCTTAAACCCCCGCCAATTTTTTCAGAGCGGCTCCGGGATGATGCATTTAGGGGTTTACGTTTCACGGTTAGGGTTTAGACCCTCAGAGTTGAGGCTTAGTTTTAGGGGTTTAGGGTTTAGGGTTTAGGGTTTAGGGTTTAGGGTTTAGGGTTTAGGGTTTAGGGTTTAGGGTTTAGGGTTTAGGGTTTAGGGTTTAGGGTTTAGGGTTTTCGGGGAGAAGCGTCCTCAGGCAGGATCTTGAACAGCTGAACACTGAAGGTTCCGCCACGGTTGAGGTCAGAACGCAAGCCTCATCGCTTTTCGGCTTTTCGATTCCGGGGAGGAGAAAGCTGTTCCCGCAGCATCCAGCCTGAAATCCCTCAACCCTAAACCCTAAACCCCTAAACCCTAAACCCTAAACCCTAAACCCTAAACCCAACCGGTACGTGCCGCGAAAGTGTTGGGACAGCCGGCTCCCTGAGTGGCTACACTTGTAGTTCTCTACATTTAGGGTCCCTTTTGGGGGGTACTTCTTTTCAGGGTGCTATACTAGGTATACAAGGGGCCCGAATTTAGAGAACTGCCGACATCCTAATTCTTGCTCGAAGGTACCCTGGCTCGGCAAGTGGCCACTGATTTGTGGCCCCTGATGCACAACCCCTAAGCCCTAAACCGTAAACCCTAAACCCCAAACCCTAAACCCTGAACCCTAAGCCCTGAGCCCTTAGCCCTGAGCCCTAAGCTTAAACCCTAAACCCTCACCCTAAACCTACAAGCCATAGAGCCCCCAACCTGCAGTGTGGTCCAGGAAGCAGACAGGGTGTTCCCTTCCACACACTTTCCACAAAGAGACACCCGGTTTAGGGTTTAGGGTCTGTATTCCTGGGTCACTGAGGGACCTCTCACTATGCCCTAATCCCCGAAACCCTTAAGCCTTAAACCCCAAGCCCTCCTGTTCTACGCGAGCCCTGGGGTCCCTCGAAGTTTTTTCAGATCCCCCTGGCAAAGCCCCCTGGGAACTGCAGCCGCTGCCGGTGACTCGCATGAGAATGCTCGACTAACCTACTTGGTAGCGAGGAGGTACCCCTTTGCCCCTTTGTTTGGATAAGGGCTCCCTTATAAAGTAACCAAAAAAGGGGTGCCCTTATCGTAAGATTATTACTGGGCGACCAAGCCTAGCCTGTATATCGAGAATCAGAACTCTAAGGGTTTGGGGTCTGGGGCTATGGTCTATGTAGTTTCGCTATTTTGGGGAATTAGAACCAAACGGTGAAAGCTCCACTCGAAGAGCTCACACTTGAAACTTATGTACCTACAGTTGTAGCTCCATCTTGAACCCTAAACCCTAAACCCGAAACCCGAAACCCTAAACCCTAAACCCTAAACCCTGAACCGTATTTAGGGCGCAGGTCGCCTCTCTTTTTCGAGCCACGGCTCAGGAATTGAAGCTCGACAGGCATGTCGGTCATTGGGTCGCAGAATGAATTCCAGCCCAAACCCTATGAACCCCGACCGCTGCCCATGTACGAGCATGTCGAAAAGTGCTTAGATGCCCCCTAAACCCTTAGACCCTAAACCCTACGCCCTAAATCCTAAACCTTAAACCCTAAACCCGCCCCCTGTTGTGGTTTCCAAGCATGCAAACAACCATGAAGGGGGGCAGCTAGTTTTCCTTAGCTTGTTCAGGGACCTTGGCTCTACACATAATGAAGGGTTTAGGGTTTAGGGCTTAGGGTTTAGGGTTTAGGGTTTAGGGTTTAGGGTTTAGGGTTGTCTAGATTCCCCCCATACCTCTGCCGACTTGTCACATGTCAAATGCAAGCCCGTTTCTGAACCCGACCCTCAACTGTAGCCCGAAAACCCCACGTTGCCTCAGTGCGGTACTTCATGAGTAGCCGAAGGGGGTTAGAAGTATAGTTGCCATACTTGCAACCCGACCTTACAAGCTATTCTAACTCATTATAACCGACTTTAACTTCACCTTACTTATAACTGATTATAAAGTGGTTTAACTCTTTTTGCTTCTTATAGCTACTCATGAAGCTCCAAGTAGAGCCACCGGCAGCAACTTTGTCATTCCGTCTGGTGCCCCGCCAGCAAAGGAGGCGGCTCCTCGCAAGCAAGCTCTCAGCAGTGCAGATGGGGTTTAGGGTCTAGGGTTTAGGGTTTGGGGGTTTAGGGTTTAGGGTTTAGGGGTTTAGGGTTTAGGATTCTTGGGAGAATTCTTCGGATGCAGGGTTGGGGGTTTAAGGTGTCAGCCTAAGGGTTTCGGGTTTAGGCTTTAGGCTTTTTGGGGCTTCTTGCGATTTCGGGCGGGACCTTCAGAGTTACAACTTTTTGGCTTCGTGAGGGCTCTGAGGGGCATGGGGCATTTGGCACGTGTTCGTGATGGGGGCAACTTGGTGTTGCTGAGCAGCTGGGCATGAGGAGGATGGGCGCAGTCCGCGAAGTGTTTCCGACTGGCCACTTGCTGCCGCAGCAACCTAGACTGGATACAGTTCTTTGGGGGCTTACGAAAATACGGGGGCCCCTAGTAGAGCCCCCTAAATCGCAGGATTCCCTTACAATAAGGGCCCCAATAAGGTACCCGATATAATTTCGGAAACCCCCATTTTTTTGCCTCAAAATAGCCTAAGCCCTACAAGCCCTGAAACCGCTGCATCCTAAACTGGCAGGACCGGGCCAGTTGCGAGTGAGGAAGCCCGAAGATCCGTCCCTTGCCCATCGATCAGGTCAGGGTTTAGGGTTTGGGGACCCCCTGAACCCTAAACCCTAAACCCTAAACCCCAAACCCTAAACCCTAAACCCTAAACCCTAAACCCTAAACCCACCAACACGTAAGTGTGAACCTAGTCTTCCCACCCCCTGAATGGGCCGTCTGAGATGGACGGGGCTTCTCTTCACGTTCTTGGTAGCCCAGTGGTACCCTTCACCCTCTTCTTTTTTGTTTGTTCTGGTTTCCCTTATAAAATAGCCAACCCAAAAAAGGGTGCCCTTATTGTAATCTGGTTTCCCTTATAAAATAGCCAAACCCAAAAAGGGTGCCCTTATTGTAATATGGTTACTGGGCTACCAAGCGTTTCACCCCAGTCCTCAAGCCAAGCCACAAGGTGCGGACGTTGAGGCATTGGAGGGCCACGCGCGCAAAGAAGTATGCCTCCTTTGACCTTGGGGATCAAGTGAACCCTAGAATGGGGAGGGGGTCATACACCCTATAATTCTCCTAATTAAGGTATATGAATCAGAAACCCTTGTAGGGTTCATGTGGTCCCTAAGGTAGTGGTTTGTGGTTTTGGCTTTTGGGGCTTTATAGGGAGAACCCCCGCTAGCAAATCAGGTTTCAGTCTCGTCGTTCAGCCGTGCGTTTTGCAGTTTACCGCACAGCACTTGCAAAATGCTTGAGGGGTCCGTTATGTTGAATCTGATGCTAGTAGCAGAATAGCTGCTGGAGCAGCAATGAAAGCATCAGGCAGCTGCGCCCTCGTTGCACAAGCACGTTGTTCGATCGTACGCGATGCCCCTGGGCCCACCTTTCCTCTGCCATGAATTCATTTGCGTCCACATAGCCTCCGACGCAAAGTCTGCATACCTTGTTTTAAGCCATGCAGGGGCCCGAAGCCCAACTCAGTTTAGAGTGTGTTCTTAACGCCCCCCCCTAGAACTCCCAATCCAACCCCATCCTAAGACACGAGCAGGTAGGATCTCCGATGCTGCCGCCGTCCACCCAAGGAACGATCAGGGCTTCAGGAATTTCGGGGCCTATGTGGCTTCGGGCGTTGGAGCTATACCACTCAGCATCGGAGAGGATATAGGAGGCCGACCTCCCAATTTTAGGGTTTAGGGTTTAGGGTTTAGGGTTTAGGGTTTAGGACTAGACTTCTGTAAGCTGTCGGAAGTAGTTTGGGCCTGTATCGGCACCCTAAACCCTAAACCCTAAAATTCGCATTGCAGCCGTATCACAGTTCCAGCAATGACGCTGTCCGTACCCAAAACTTTAAAGAATGGACTATGACTATTTTTTATCCATTATGATAGTTTATTGCCGATTTATTCTTCTGCTATGTTTGTTCTAGCGAACGGATGAGAGACAAACCCACGCCATGTACAGGCAAAGTGCGAGCCCGGACGTCCGAACAGCAACGGAAGTGTGAGTAAAGGCCATCGGATTCCTAAGAAGAGGCCGCACTTTAAAGCGGGGTTTAGGGGTGGTTTAGGGTTTAGGGTTTAGGGTTTGGGTTTAGGGTTTAGGGTTTTAGGGTTTAGGGTTTAGGGCTTCTACCCCTGGACCCAAACCCTAAAAGTCTCTGAGAACCTGTCGAACGAGCCTTGTGTTAGAGTGTGTCCAGGAGAGAATTCCTGGGTCGCCACTAAACCCTAAACCCTAAACCCTAAACCCTAAACCCTAAGGTGTTCCTAGACATCCGACGATTGTCACGGGCCCAGAATCACAGAATAGACCCAGCATGGCAACTCTACTTGTTCACCTTGGGTTGTCTAAACCCTAAACCCTAAACCCTAAACCCTAAACCCTAAACCCTAAACCCTAAACCCTAAACCCTACACCCTACACCCTACACCCTACACCCTACACCCCACACCCCACACCCTAAACCTGAACCCAAACTCCCAAACCCTAACGTGCTCGCCACAAAACGCAAAAGAAGCATGCTGCAGGGCGCGCGCCGCCGGACTTGGGTCTTTTGTCGAGGCTTCGTTGTGTTTTTGTTTCTGTGCTGAGGCTTTTTGTAGTTGAAGGATAGGGTTCAGGGTTTAGGGTTTAGGGTCTAGGGTTTAGGGTCTAGGGTTAGGGTTTAGGGTTAGGGTTTAGGGTCTAGGGTTTAGGGCTTAGGGTGTGAGATCATTCAGAGGACTCATGTTTGGCGGTCCGTTCCGACGACTTCAGGGACGTGACTCTAGCTCAAGGCAAAGCTTTTGTGGCTTTGGTTCGGCAGTTTGGCTGTTCTGAAAGGGCTGTTTTAGGGTTTAGGGTTTAGGGTTTAGGGTTTAGGAGGCTATCTTCAGGACTAAGCCGCGTGCATGCGCGACCTAGCTCCTGGCAGCAGCGGAGTCCAACATTGAACCTAATTACGGGGGTCGGAATGATTACGAATAGTATTGACTTATGGTCCAATTGTAATTCTACTACAATAACTCCCAAAAACCGCATTCTAATTATTCAGGCGCCTATATCATGGTGTTTAGGGTTCGCCTGCAAGGAGGATAGGTTGTCTGTGAAAGATGTGCACCTCGAAACAGGGGTGATTCCAGTAACAGACTTCCCTAAACCCCATGCCCCACCTGACACGCCCAAACTGGTCACCCGCCTAGTTGCAAGCTGCCCATCAACCTCCCACCCCCATCACCCTCCATGCACCCAAAGCGGACTCTGTAGACCACATGGTGTTTAGCCCTAAACCCTAAACCCTAAACCCTAAACCCTAAACCCTAAACCCTAAACCCTGGAAACCAAGCCAGGCAACTCGCTGCCGAAGTCGCAGCGGACCGGACGCTGGCAAATCGGCTCGAACAAGAGGCCAGGCTTCGGGGATCGCAGAGTTTAACTTGGAGGCTCTATGAGTACTTATAAGTAGGTGATAAGTAGTGTTTAGGGTTTAGGGAAACTAAAAACCTTTAACCCTAAGCCCTGCACCCGGAACCCTGAACCCTAAACCCTAAACCCTACACCCTACACCCTACACCCTACACCCTAAACCCTAAACCCTCAACCCTCAACCCTCAACCCTCAACCCTAAACCCTAAACCCTAAACCCTAAACCCTAAACCCTAAACCCTAAACCCTAAACCCTAAACCCTAAACCCTAAACCCTAAACCCTAAACCTTTCACTTCGGGGTTCGAAGGGTTGGTGGGAATTCTGCCGAGAAGGTCGGCCCTCTCGAACTCCGAGTTCATCAAGCGCAGGAGGAGCCCCTGAGTCGCTTCCATGAGAAGGCTTGCATTTTTGGGGCTGGGATGGTTTAGGGTTTAGGGTTTAGGGTTTAGGGTTTAGGGTTTAGGGTTCAGGGTTTAGGGTTTAGGGTTTAGGGCTGGGATGTTCCCCCTTATACTAACAGTCCTTAATAGGGATTGTAGTATCACCTATTATAATAATCCCTATTAAGGACTGTTAGTATAAGGGGGGAACATCCCAAAATTTGGGGCTCCAATGTAGGGGCCTTGATAGTTAGAATAGGTTTAGGGGGGGGGGGGGGGGGGCGATTTTAGTATACTTATTTTAGGGACCATAAGGGAACTATTGGTAACTATTCCGAACCCTATATTGGACGGTTTAGGTTTCGGATCCATGCCCCAAGCTTGGTTGAAGTTTCGGGCCCCCCCCCCCCCCCCCCCCCCGCATCAAAGTGGCCAGATTTGATCTTCGGATGCCTCCTTGTTCTCTTCCTCCCCCAGTACGCCCATGAGGTGCAGGATAGCAAGGATCCTAATGCGGGGCAGAACGACTTCGGACTCCAACGGCAGAGCTACCAAGATGTAAGCCACCCTCAGCCCTAACACTGCAAATCCTTCACTGCAATAACGTGCAGAATTTCAGGAAGCCTCTTCCATGAGTAGAGTGGGTGTTTTTGTTGTTTTTGCTTGTCCAGGACCTCTCACTTTCACGGATGCAGGCCTGGGGGTACACGGCAGACATGTAGCGTCTCTGTTACTGTTTAGGGTCTAGGGTTACCCTAAACCCTAAACCCTAAACCCTAAACCCTAAACCCTAAACCCTAAACCCTAAACCCTAAACCCTAAACCCTAAACCCTAAACCCTAAACCCTTACTTCTGAGGCTGGGACCTTGAGGTTGCTGAGGCTTCGTGATAGATCCGAAGTGGGTCGTCGTGCTGCCCTGACATCCCCTGGCAGGCCAAAGATGCCTTCGACATCCAGGCACGCGGTTTAGGGTTTAGGGTTTAGGGTGTAGGGTTTAGGGTTTAGGGTTTAGGTTTTAGGGTTTAGGGTTTAGGGTTCAGGGTTCAGGGTTTAGGGTTTAGGGTTTAGGGTTTCGGCTGCCTGAGCTTCCGGGCCTTCAGCGTGAGGAGTGTTGTCAGCGCGGTATGTGTTGCCGATCTCCAGACTACGCATTGCTTAAGAACCCCCCAGAAAATAAAATATTCTCCCTGATAAGGAAATAGAGGTCTTAAGCAAAGAGTAGAACCCTAAACCCTAAACCCTAAACCCTAAACCCTAAACCCTAAACCCTAAACCCTAAACCCTAAACCCTAGTGGCAACTTGGGCGGTTTCTGATCTTTGCCGGTATGGGGTGTCGGTGGGGTTGGAGGTGTACAGAATGGACCCCAAGTTCTGCATTGTCCATGAGGAGTGGGGCAGGAAAGAGTGTACAGCGCTGTGGGGCCCCGAGTTTTTCAACCCTACTTAGGGTTTAGGGTTTAGGGTTTAGGGTTTAAGGTTTAGGGTTTGTTTAGGGTGTTTTTCGCGGTGTTGGGGCTCTTTATGATGATTCAAACAATCTTGTTGAGACTAGTTGAGACCCACAAAAAATGAATACCGAGCTACTGGGTCGACGTGGTTTATGAGCACGCAAGCCCAGAAGATAACCCAATCGCTGCGTGCCCTGCGGAATCAGCAAAATTTGCATCGTTGGAGCTTACCAGGCTCTAGTTCTGTAGCATGCATGTGGTACACGAAACGCCAGGGAACGCTTGCAATCCGGGTGTAGATATGTGGCCGTTTTGCATGCTGTATTTGTGCGATAAGGGTTCCGATATGCATGCATGAAGATATGATCGTTTCACGTACCACAACAATGCGAGAGCAGGCATCTGAGCAAATTAGGTGCCATCAGTGTTTTTTAAATGCCATGGTATGTAACAGGCGGCGTCTTTTTGCGACACAGGTTTTGCGACACAACCAGGAACAACAAACACCGCATAAGTTGGAGTACATAGTGGCCTTGGCCTTGCCAAGACAGGTCCGAAGTATCGTTCGCGGTATCGTTCGGGTATCGTTCCGATAACAATACAAACCCCCATCCAAAATCCATTTCTGAGTTTGTGTTACAGATTGCAGTTCGGATTCATCGCTATGTCTGCGGGAAGACTCCGCGAAACATGCTTTTTTCAGAGTTTCAAGCTAGCCTCACAGATCGCCGAGAGGTAGCGTCGAAGGAGCCTTCGCGGGTAGATTTTTGGCAACGGTACTGAGGCAGCAGGGACCACGACTTGATGGTCATGCACCCCAACTGAAGAATTCCGAAGCCTCAAATCCCTTTTCTCTACACCCCACATCCCGGATCCCCAAATCATCACCCTGAACCCTAAACCCTAAACCCTGAACCTGAACCCTAAACCCTAAACCCTAAACTCTGAACCCTAAATCCTCCCGAATCCCCACCCCCTCGCCACTGCCAGCAGCGAATGACGGACCTTGAGCGATCTTTGGAGGGGTGCGCCCCTGGGATTTTGTAGAGGACGCATATGGGCTAAAGGGATCGGGTTTAGGGTTTAGGGTTTAGGGTCTAGGGTCTAGGGTCTAGGGGTTAGGGTTTAGGGTTTAGGGGAGATTCAAGGGCAGATTCTTGGGGCATATAAGGGTTTAGGCTGGGATTCGCGGGTACAGGGTACAAGTGCTTAAGGATTGGAGAGTTTTGGGTGCAGCGTTTTGGGGTCAGGACTTAGTTTGGGGGCGTTCTTGGGATTATGCGAGGAAGGTCTAGGAGTTTAACTGAGAGTTTTGGGGTGCCAGGCTCTCTGCTGCAGGGTTCAGGACTTAGGGTGTAGGGTTTGTCTAGGGCTTAGGGTTTAGGCCTTAGGGCAACATAAAGAGTTCAAAATTACCCCGAAACCCTTATGCTCTATTTAAATTAGATAAATAGGCTATTCGGCCTGCATTTTTACATTCCAGAAACCCCCCCCTTGCCGGGTGCCAGGCAGATCCATGCCGCGAAGGAGCAGCTGTTGCGACTTGGGGAGGCGCCAGGGGGTTCACAATGGAGTCGCGCAGTCCTCTAAGTAAGCAAGGGTTTAGGGTTTAGGGTTTAGGGTTTAGGGTTTAGGGTTGAGAGGCTTGAAGGCTCCGGTTTAGAGCCCCTCTACCTGCAAAGTGCCTGTGAGATACTGTGCCAGCTTTGTTTTTCCAAGTGCCCGCTTCGGACCTGGCTCTGGCGTGGTTTGGGCTTAGTTCAGTGCGCCATGTTGCTGTGAGTGAGCTACCGTGGCATCAACTGTAGACCGTGAATCCTAACCCTTAGGAGCTGAGTGAGTACGCTTTGCCCTTTTTGGGATACTATAATCCCCTATAAAAACCGAAAGTGTACACTTTGTAGGGGCTTCTGAGCTCAGCAACCAAGAACCCCACATCATGAGTGATGGGCTGCCTCCGAGGTCTCTGTTTTGCTTGTGTCTCTGTATGTTCTCTCGGAAGCCCGGATCAAGGTACATGTACGACATGGTAATCTATTAATGAGAAGAACGATCATACTGAGAATTATGACGAGCACATTGGCTAATCCGTTTTTTCATTGTATTTCATTTCGGTACAGTATAGCGTTACCTTTTTACCGACTACAGATCGTGAACAAATCGTTACATAGTATATTATATGCTTGATCTACGCACACATACATACATACATGCATACATGTGCATACTCTGTCGATCCAGTTCAAGTTTTTGCATGGCCGTGAGCCGAAGCTGCTGTCCATCTGTCTATATGTGTATACGATGCTGTGTGCCGACTATAGATTTTGCATCATATATCATATATCAAATATCATATATCATATAACATATATCATACATCAGATATCATATATCATATATCATATGTGTGTGTGTGTGCGCGCGTGTGTGTGTGTGTCTCTCTCTCTCTCTGTGATGCTGGTGTTCTTTTTTCATGACCTACTCCATGTCAGATTCTATGTGTTATAGTGTATGCTAAGCTTATGTGCTATACAAGACATATTTTACGGCATAGTATAGGTATATGTGTGTATGTAGATATACATATATTCGTCTTCTATTTTATCTCTGTACCGACTACCACACCCGCATGTACAAGTTCATGCAGCAAAAGCTGCGAGTGTAGAGGGAATACCTGCTCATTTTCTCGGCGGGTTTCCTCTTCGGGCTTATGGCTTGGGGTTTCCAAATGATCACCCACTGCACTTTGTAAGCGCTTGAGAGAAGCCGTCCTTGAGAAAAATGCTCTTCTGGGGGGCGATCGATACTCCGCCACCATTTGAGCCTTCCTCCTTTGTCCCGCGCGATCTCTGTGCCAAAACCATAAATTTCAGCAGGGCGCGCCATGCGCGCGCCACAAAGGCGACCCCCCCCCCCCCCCCGCCGAAACTTCAGAGCACGTCCTTCTCAACGGCGCTGCGTTAGGGTTTAGGGATTAGGGTTTCGGGTTTAGGGTTTCGGGTTTAGGGTTTCGGGTTTAGGGTTTAGGGTTTAGGGTTTAGGGGTTCCTGAGACCAAGCCTGTGGCTCCTTGCAACAGGAGCGGCGGCAGCTCACCGAGCTCTTCTGCAGCGGCGCGGTGGACAAGGCTGAGGGTGTACTTGGGGGTTCCTGGGTACTGGTAAGTATAGGGTTTTAAAGTATCCTAAATAGGGTGTGCTTGGAGGTTCCTGGATACTGATTTAAGTAGGGTTCTTAAAGTATCCTAAATAGGGTTAAATGGAGGTTCCTTGGTACTGATTTAAGTAGGGTTCTTAAAGTATCCTAAGTTGGGTTACATGGAGGTTCCTGGGTACTGATTTAAGTAGGGTTCTTAAAGTATCCTAAATAGGGTTAAATGGAGGTTCCTGGGTACTGATTTAAGTAGGATGAAAAGTATCCTAAATAGGGTTAAATGGAGGTTCCTGGGTACTGGCAAGTATAGGGTTTAAAGTATCCTAAGTAGGGTTATAGGTACAGTTGCTGGGTACTGATTTAAGTAGGGTTCTTAAAGTATCCTAAGTCGGGTTATAGGTACAGATGCCATACTTTGAGAACCCCACTTACAACTGTCCATGAACCTCCAAGTCTTTTTCTTGGTGCTTGCGGGCTGAGATCGGCTCGCCGCTTTCCAGCCTCTGCAGGGGGAATTCTGTTGTTTTTTGCTTTTGTCAAGCCCGAGGGAATATTGAGTGAGCTGCCCTGTTTGTTTTTTAAATCAAGGTTCGCTGGGACTTGTGGTTTAATTAAGGTGGTCAGGTGATTTTTGAGCTGAGGTGGTGCTTGCTACGAGATGACGGATCGAACATTGTCTAACTGTTGTTTGGAACAAGGGTCCCCTGCACATTCCCTTGTGGTGCTGCGCCCGTTTGTTCCGACTTGGCATCCGCAGCAGCGGATGTTTGCTCCAGCGGGTTTGGGATGAAGGTTAGAGTTTAGGGTTTCGGGTGCGAAGTAGCTGATGGTCCCAGTAAGGTCCAAAAATTGGCCCATCGACTCTTACATTCCAAGTTGAGTTCCAGCAACTGCAAGAAGCCCAAAAACACTACAAGCTCTATGAGCCCAAAAAGGGCCCTAAACTCTAACCCTAAACCCGAAACCCTAAACCCTAAACTCTAACCCTACAAGTCCTGAAAGCCGAGTGCTGCGGAAGGAGCGCGCCTCCAGCTCGCGTCAACTTCTCGAACAGGCATCACACGGCCGTTCTGGGGTGTAGGGCTTAGGGTTTAGGGTTTAGGGTGTAGGGTTTACGGTTTAGGGTTTGGGTGGACCTCAACCGTGTGAATCCGAAATCCTTCAGCTCGCTTTTGGAGTGACTGCGACCTGCACCCAAGCCACCCGACAAAAGGCAAGCTCGCCTCAAGCCCATCAAATGCCCTCATAGTACTAAAGCCTCAAGCCAAGCAACGTAGAGCTCCAGCTCGTCACAGGTCCTCGATGAAGAGGCGAGAGCCCTCGAGGCTTCGCTCTAATATGGGGCTAAGGTGACAGGACTTTCAGGTCCGGCGTTCAGGGTGCAAGGTCTTGAGTACTTGCGGGGATGATGGCAGCCTTGCGGATCTTGGAGCACGCTGAGTAGGGTGCCATCTCATGCCAGCTGCTGCGCTGTGCTATATGGATGGTTCTGAACACATGCCGTGCAGGAGTAGGTGAAGGGACCCCTGTCGGGGTTGCTAAAGTTAATCTCGACTTATGACGGGAGGTGTGCTTATACCTGATAGGGTTTATGGGGAGCCGGGCACTGATGCTCCTGCTGCGGGCGCCCGGGTGTGGGCTTAGGGCCGCTGATGCTCACGACAATGCACGCCTGCTTTGGGGTGGCGAAGGGCGTCCGTGGGCTGTGCAAAAACAGCTAACACTGCACGCGGCCCCGGACCCTATTCGAAGTGGTGGGGGTGCCACCCAGCTGATGCTCATGATGCGCGCCGTCCCGGGATCTAGATCGGCGCCCTCGCGCGCCCTCACGCTCATGATGGTGATCCTTTTTCGCGAACCCTAGCCAGTACATGGAAATCATGCAAAAAAGAACGCTGCATTCACGACAGCTTCGTGTGTTTTCGGAGCGCCCGAACCTGAGATATGCCGGCCATGCTGGCCGTTCCAGGGGCCTTGCTGCCGCAAGGCCACCCTGGTAAGGCGGAAGTCGCAGCAAAGCGAGAAGTCTAAGACTTGGCCCTGATGATGCTCAAAGGGGAGGGGGGGGGGGGAAGAATACGTTGGGTGAAAAGGGTCGGCGGCATGAGATGACCCCAGCCAAGTCATCTCGTTAGGCTCCCCGGCAGGATCTGAAGAGTTTGTCATAGTGGTCTTGACCGCGGCCCCGCGTGAGGGAGACCCTAAACCCCAAAGTCTAAACCCTAAAGTGACCCCAAGCCCCAAACCCCAAACCCTAACCCCTAAGCCCTAAACCCCCAACCCCAAGCCCTGTTTACCAGGAGACCCGGGCGGCGAACGTGTTCTTGGAAGAGTCTTGCAGAGGCAGACTGGGTCTGCTCGATTTCGGGCGTTTTGTGGGATCAGGGTTTAGGGTTTAGGGTTTAGGGCTTAGGGTTTAGGGTTTAGCGGTTAGGGTTTAAAGGCATTGGGCCTTAGGGCTTTTTTGGGCGGCTTAGGGTTTAGGTTGAAGGGCTTCAGATTGGATGGCTATCCTAAACCCCGAAACCCTGAACCCTGAACCCTTAACCCTAAACCCTAAACCCTCATCATCGGTATGTTGAGCCCCTGGGATTCTTCACCGGTGAAGACACTCTACGGGATCAGGGGGCTTGCTTTGGGGGCTCAGGGCTCCCTAAACCCTAAACCCTAAACCCTGAATTAAGGCTTACTGCAAAAAACTCTCTAGGGCTCAGGGGTTTTTGGGGCGTTCGGCTTTGTTTGCCCTACACCCTGAACCCTGAACCCTAAACCCTAAACCCTACAGGCTCAGGTGCTAAATTGGCGTCCGCGACCTCTCTAAACCCTAAACCCTGAACCCTAAACCCTAAACTCAGGCAACACCTAGTAGCGCATGACCTTGGGGTTGAAGAGTAGGCTTGCGCCAAGATGGCGGTGTTTTTGGCTTTTGGGTATAGGGTCTAGGGTTCTTAGAGCTCTTAGGGTGCCGCGGCTGAGGATTCAGGGTTTGGAGTCTGGGCAGCAGTCGGCTGATTTGGGGTTTGAGGGTTCAGGAAGACACCGCTTCAAGGAAT